GTACATGCCATGGGAGCAGTTGATGGTCGACGACAAGTTCCTCGCCAGGTTCTTCCTCTATTTCAGTCCCTGCGAGCGGTGTGTGTTGGCGCAGGTGTGCACCAGGTGGAGGGATGTGCTGTATAGGGCGCCGAGGTTCTGGACGGGGCTGGTGCCCGTGCTGCAGTGTCGCGAGATGAGAGGGGCGCAAGGGAATGAACGATCGAGATTGTATGCGTCACTGCTCAGGAGAGGGTTTCATAATTTGTGCTTGATGGGGGCTTCCGATGAAGATGCACTCGATCTTATTAATTCGTTTCCGTTAGCCTCGAAACATATACATACGGTGAGTTTGAGGTGTTCGAGCATCACCGATCGGGGACTGGAGTCGCTGCTTGATCATCTGCAGGTTAGTACATCATTTTTTTTTTACACCAACAAGGACAAAGGAACACTCACACCAAACTTTAATCAATATTGACTCATAAAAAGTAAATTAACGTTACAATTTACAAAAAAAACACAATTTTATGTTAGTAATAACTTAAGCCCTTTAAATGTCTGCAGGTTGTCCCCTTAAATTTCATAAATAGGCAACCAAGAATACCATAATTTGTTAAGTTCTTGCTGTTGTTCCCATTATTATTATACATTTGAGTTTTGAATTTAATTTTTTTTAAGTTTTCGATAGTCAAGCACCGACTATAATTATTCGATTTAGAATTGTTAATACTTTATATGTATAAAATATTTAGTTTGAGATGTATATTATGTTGCCTATCTTTCCTTCTTCAGGCAGGAACAAATAAAATGGGCACCCCGTATACTTTAATTTAATTACAATTAATAATGAGGTTAATTACAACTTTTCTTGGAAATAACTAGAACTACAATGGTGAACTTGAAATTTTTATTTTTTTATTTTAAAACAGAAATAGTCGAAATATACAGCAGTTGAAAAAGATGGAACTACTTTTTTCCATTGGAATATGTAGTTTGTCTCTTTTTACCAATGTATTTCTTAGATTTACCAATAAATTGTATACGTTTGTGTATAACTGGTTGCATACCAAAAACTGCATTAACCCATCATTTTTTAAAAGTACACATAAAATCTGATTTTTTTTTTTATAAAAATCGTCATTAATGTAATTTGAAAACTGAAAAAAAATTGTATTTAAATAACAATATCCCGACGCTATTTTCTAGTTTATTGTGCAAAGAATTTTAATATAAATTGAAGACGTCTCGACATCATTAATAACTTTTTTCTGTGAAACGTATTTAAAAGCCCAGTGAACCATTTATCTTTATAGAAACAACATTTCATTGATTTTTATTTCGGAGTTAAAGCAGCGGTAAATCCGGTTGGTTTGGAAATGATCAAAAATACATAATAATTTTCGCGTCATTTTTTGTAAGTAATTTTGGATGATTTGTCATTCGACTGACATAAAAATGTAAAACAGGCCTTAAATAAACCACAATAAGAATGAAAAATTATTATTTTAACAAATTTTAATTTTAACCACTCAGATTTTAAGCATATTTTTACTATATTTTACTTAATTTTTTTGAAAAGTATTAGAATTTTTTAATTTCAATAATTTCTAACTTTAACCTCCTCAAGGTCTTGTTTTATATTCAAAACAATCCCAGCGACAATATGAAAAACTTAAACAAAAAAAGTAAAGAACAATTTTTGGCTATATTTTACTCGATTTGTAGTCTTTCATAAAATTTTATTTTAGCGACTTTTTGAATCGAGAAAATGAAATACTTTTACTTTAAAACTCTTCCTCTCCTTCTACGAGTAGATTACGATAGTGAACTTGGAAGTTTTTATTTTTTTTATTTCTAAATACATTTCGTGTTTATTTCATGACCTTGTTTTTTATTTTCATGGCCTTAAAAATTGAAAAAACTAGAATGCCTATATTAGTTTAAATGTAGGAACTCTAGAGAAAATTAATAATCGATCTAAAACCGCATAGGAACAGATAAAAAATTAACGTTTACTTTGCATGTGTATAACTGGTTGCCTATCAAAAACTGAATTAAAATTTGTTTATTGTAAAAATCATTGAAAAAATTTACTAATTAAATAACACTATGCCTATGACAGCCCAGTGAAGCATTTATCTTGCAGACACATTGATTTTATTTCGGAGTTAAAGCAGTGGAAAATCCGGTTAGCTCAGAAATGAACAATTAGCACACAAAGATGCTATAAAATATAATTATCCGAACCATTGAGGTCGGAAAGGGTTGAAGTTTTTTGCCCTTAAATCATGAGATAAAGTGCAATCGGAAGCTGTTTTCCAAAGGTCATTATGTTGTTTCCCAGTCAAGATTCTCTTTTGACCTTTAGGAAATAAGAGAAGCCAAGTTTCGATTCAAGGGTGACTTTGCGAAATTCTACGCTCAGATTTGTGTAATTTTACTAAATTAGCCTACGATCGATACAGCGGTTAGACATGTTAACCATGAAACAAACCATCTCCTTAATTACCAGTAAACAATGCAATAAATTCCCTTCATTTTTGTTAAAAGTTGTTTTTTTTTTCAGGCGTTATACGAGTTGGAGTTGGCGGGATGCAATGAGATAACCGAGGCTGGTTTATGGGCCTGTCTCAACCCCCGAATCGTGTCTTTGACACTAAGCGACTGCATAAATGTCGCCGATGAGGCTGTCGGCGCCGTGGCTCAACTCCTCCCCGCATTATACGAATTCTCCCTCCAGGCCTACCACGTCACCGACGCAGCTTTGGGTTACTTCTCCCCAAAACAAAGCAACTCACTCAATGTCCTCAGACTACATTCGTGCTGGGAAATCACCAATCATGGTGTTGTAAATATCGGTAACTACATTTTCGGTTTGTCGACAAAAAATTAACCAATCAAATTCTAGTTCACTCTCTCCCAAATCTGACAGTCCTCAGTCTCTCCGGTTGCAGCAAAATCACCGACGACGGCGTCGAACTCATCGCCGAAAATCTACAAAAATTGAGATCGTTGGACTTGTCATGGTGTCCACGAATCACCGATGCTGCCTTGGAGTATATCGCTTGCGATCTCAACCAATTAGAAGAGCTTACACTCGATCGGTAACCAATCAGATTTCAACACAACACTTGTTACACAATCCCAATTACAGGTGTGTTCACATTACCGATATTGGGATTGGTTACATTTCAACAATGTTGTCACTCTCCGCACTCTATCTACGTTGGTGTTCACAAATTCGCGATTTTGGACTTCAGCACTTGTGCGGAATGAGAAATTTGCAAATATTATCGTTAGCAGGTCTACCAATCACGTAAAAAATGACAAATTAATTCACTTGAAATTTACAGGGTGTCCACTATTGACGTCTAGCGGTTTATCAAGTCTGATTCAGTTGAGACATATGAGAGAATTAGAACTAACAAATTGTCCAGGGGCATCAAAAGAACTCTTTGATTATTTGAGAGAACATCTTCCGCGTTGCCTCGTTATAGAGTAATTGGTCCACTGTTATATTTGATACTAGATTGTGCAATAACGGTTTTATTCAGTATCGTTCGTCACTTGTCTCGTGTTTGAGTTTTAATTTAGTTAATGTGGTGTAAATAATCGCAAGTAAATCAGAAAGATATTTTATACATTTCCTTAATTAATTACCTCAAGTGTCCCACCATGACAGCAACCCCAAACCTGGCTCATTTATACTCCCCTGCAACAAAACCAAATTAGAGTCACACAACCCCCAAATTGTCTCTATTACAGTCAAACTATAAGGGACTTTATTCTCCGACTTGTCTTGCGTTTCTTGTAAACTCCCTGTGGGGCAAGTCTCATTGAAAAATTCGGCTGTTACGCGAAACTTTATAGTTTCACCGGCGTCCATAAAAAGGTCGTGTTTGCACCCATCTCCCGTATCATACTCCCACACCCATGCCTGTTCCGTCTCGTTGAATTTGGACGGGTGTTGGAGGGCACTGGGGGGGATCAAAATGTCGTCGAAAAAACCAAGAGTCACTAGAAATCACAATCAAATACGTTCAAAAGCATGATTGGCGTACCATGAACCCCCTCCTGGCTACAACTCCGGATTTTCCCCACTAAAATCTCCTCGATAAAGGGGCGAAAAACGATGTATCTGAAGCTGACTCTGGTGTGAGAGGCCCCATCGCCGGGGAATATGTACGACTCTTGGAGACTAGTAATGTCGTACAAAGCTATACACAGACCAACATTGAGCACAACCTGGAACTGGGGGTTAAAAGGGGCTAAAACGGGTTCTAACCTCACTTTATTCGCTAGTTTTTTGTTCAGTTCGCCGGCTATAGCGTCGTTTAGTTTCAAATTGAACAACTCGGGAGGGATTCGTGTCACATTCTTCATTTCAGCCACTATAAACATTATTAATTTAATTTTTGTGTATTTTGAGGTTAAGTCATTTCTTGGAACAGCGATACCAACCCATAAACCCGAACACACTAACCGTATTCGAGACATTTTTTAAAATTAATTCAGCACAATTGAAAATTTGTTAATAATGAATTTGATTACAATTGGCTGATACTTAACAGGGCGAAATTTTGGAAATTATTTCAAAACGCATTTTTTTTTTAATTAATTCTAAGGGAGTGGGTCAAGTTGCAGCATTGAAACTTGAAAGTCCCTAAAATTGAACTGTTTTTCAAGGTGAGTTTTTACAATTATTTCTCAAGTTTTTTCTCTATTTCACGCTTTTTAGTCACAATGGAGAACCCGTTTGATACCACTGAAAGCGATGAAGGGGCGCAATTTGAGCCCGAACCTGATAACCCCGAAATGGTGTTAAAGCCCACTTGTGAGTGTAAAAACTGCGTCCATTGGACCAGTAGCGCCGACTGGACAACCCCCGAGTTGCAATTCGAGGGGCCCCAACGCCTTTGCAACGAACGGAAGCTTCAACCCCTGTTACGGTCGTCGAAACATCCCGGGAAAGCCCCCAAAATCTTCACTTTTAACCCCGGCAAATTAACAAAAATCGAGAGACAAGGCTACGCGAAAACGCTAGTTCACGGGTAATTCTCCCACGTGGGGGCCAACACCTAAATGGAGGGTATTTTCAGGGAGGTGATCCCCCAACCGGTCCAATTGCTCACAGACACGTACTTTAGTGACGAAATTCAGGCATCTTTGCGACGTCTCAACTACAAATACAGTCTACCAATCCAGTCCTTCGCATGGCCGGCCATTTTCCGACAATTGAACGTCATTGTGATAGGGGGGCCCAAGTCGGGGAAAACCATGTCGTATCTCCCCGCACTTTGCTCATTCAGCACAGCAGAAGAGGAGAAATATTCACAGTTAGCGAGATACAAGGGGCCTTTAATAATCATCATTTGCCCCCACAGCAAACACTGTGAAGACATTTACGACTTGACGAAAAAACTGTTTGAAAATAGCAAAACGAAACCGAAAATTGCTCTAATGACATATCCACTCCACCATATTGTAGATATGTTGTTTAAACTTTTTCCGGTTATTTATTCTTTGTTGTAGAACAACGTTGATATTTTAATCACAATTCCCAAGACTCTCATCAACTGTCTCAAATCACGAATGTTTAATTTGAAACGCATGTGTCACTTGGTGTTGGAAGACGCGAGTTGTTTACTCAAAGACAACCACGAGGAAATTTATAAAATTCTGGAAGTCGCCGACGAGATGCTCGAACACAGGGGGGCCAACTCCAAAGTCCAGTTTATTGCAAGTTCGACAAAATGGACGTCAGATTTGCAAAAACTCCTCAAATCGATTTATATAACTCCTTTGGTGTGCATTGGGAATTATTTGGAAGCAGCTTTGTATGGAAACATCCAATTCGAAGTGAAATTTTTAATGTCACAAAAGAAGCAAACTTACGTGGAGGGGCTATTAAGAGACAAGAGTCACCTTTTTAAAACCATTATTGTGTGCAACAATGACGAAATAACTGATTTGAACAAGTGTTTAGTTCGGAATGGGATCGAAGTAATGGCGTTAAGTGATGATTCGAATAGGGAACAAATCGAGTTTTGTGAACAAGAATGGGGTAACATGCGAGGGGGGCAATATAAGGGTACTTGACACCCCCCATTTGGCTCTTGTACTAATTTTTTTCCCAATTTTAGTGTTACTTTGCACCGATTTTATCCTCGATTCTTTGTTATGCATCACCGATGCTATGTGGCTCATCAACTATTCATTTTCCTCGACTTGGACCCGATTTATCAAACGTTTCAGTGCCTTATTATCACACTACAAGAGCCCTTGGGAAACAAACGAAGTAAAACACTCACTTGAAACAATTTGAAATTAATAAAACTTGTAGGGGGACCCCAAACCGAAAAGTTTTTTGATGATTGACGAAAACTGTGAACCCCAAATGGCAAGAGTCCTCAATTTACTCAATCGTTTGAGTAAGGATTTACCACCCATGTACCAAAAATACGCCAATGTGAGTATGACCACACGTGGCACACATTTAATTTTTTCTATTCCAGGCGTTCAGGAAACGAACTGAAAGTGAGAAAATCGATAATGGGGTTGAGGTTTGCAACACTTTGAAATTGTTTGGAAAATGTGGGGAATCTTTATGTGTGAAACGTCACCACGTCTGTGAGCAATTAGACGTCATTGAGGATCTCCCAAAAAGTGGAAAATTAATTTTTAAAATTCTCAATATGAAAGATGTGACTCAATTCTCGGTCCAAATCCTCAAACACATCGATTTGGAGGGGAAAGTGCGTGAAATTAACAGCGATGATTTGAGGAAACCACTCAAAGTGTCGGGAAAGCGTGCAAAAGAGATCACAATTGGGGGTTTCTACGCACATTGTGATTACACCCCCGAGGGTGAAGTTTACATGCTATGCCACGTGTTGAGTATCACTAATGATGGGTTTGTCGAAGTGAAATTATCAAATGAGTTGGTTTTGCAAACATTACAGAAAAAACTCTACGAACTACCGACAAGTTTAAAAAGTAATTATCATTATTTTGTGTCAATTTTGTAACGGTTTTTTTCAGTCGTGGACATCTATATGTGCAATTTAATCCCACCTTTTGGGGACAAAATGTTTTCGTCACGTTCTTTCCACATCACTCGCAATTCCTTGCAAACAATTGAGTATAAAAATATGGTTTTAACCGGCGATATTTATCTTCAATTGGACCGAAGTTTTTGGTTGAATAATGTTGCCCAAATTTTGCAAGTTGACGGTTGTGACATCATCAAATTTAATCTAACTAAACACTTGTTGAATCTCAAAGTGGTGGAATTGTCGAGTCAAATCACGAGTTTGCACAAGTTGTGTGAAAAATGTGATATAACCCTCCCGTGTTATGTAAAACAGAGGGCAAAGAAGGCGTCGAAAAAGGAAGTGGAAGCACAACGAGCCTTCCTCAATGATAATGTCCAAGAAGTGATCCTGAGTTCGGCTGTCACTCCTGTGGAGTTTTACGTGCGTTTGGTTAAATTCCAACCACTGTTGGAGAATCTCGAGAGGGAGATTAACAGAGCCGTTGAGGGAACCCCCGCGAGACATTTAAACATCGAAATCGGGAAATACTACTTAGCCTTGGACCCTCAAGGTCGAATGTATTCGCGTGTCGTGGTTTTGAATATCGAAAATTCGAAAGCGTTATGTTTTTATGTGGATTATGGTGACGAGGCGATTGTCGAGTTGGGGGAATTGAAAATTTTACCGGGGAAATTTCTAACTCAGTTGCCGTTTCAAGCGATTCAGTGTCGTTTGTATGGATTGAGTCCGCTGTCTGGTGAATGGGAGGATGAGGCAACTGAGGTTTTGTACAAGTACATGTTTGAACCGGATTCGGATTATTTTCGGTCATTGTATGTGCAAGTTTTGTGCAAGGATGTTGGAGAGACGATGAGAGCCAAAACGACATATTCGGTGTTGATGAAGGACGGGTTTGGGGAAAACAACGTCTTGATAAATCAGTTGTTGTTGGATTGCGGGTTTGCCACGTCGATTTTTGACAAAATTGACGATTTTGAAATACCGAAACCGGTGGTGGTTGACGAGGAGGAGGAGGAAGAGGAGGAGTCAGACTCGGATGTCAATGTAGGTGAACAAGCTCAGGAGGAAAATCTCGAGGAAATGTTCGGTAAGGAATTTAGTAGTCTTGGGCGATTATGAATACAAAAATTTCACTTTAATTATTCGTTTGAGAATCGAGATTCTGTTTTTTTCACATACAGAGAATTGGTTTATGCATCTCACTTGAATAATTCGTTTTGAGAAATGAAAAAAATTGTTTTTCAAGCATTTTCCACGTTTTCAACTAGAAACTTGATTATTTTGTAAATTTTTTTCAAAAAAGTCGAAAAACCACCAAATTGGTTAAAATAGTTCTTTGTTTTTTTACAAGATTTTACTAGAAAGGATTAAAAATGACAAATTATTTTTGTCTTTTTCGAATACTCTTTCAGCTAGAAACGCAATTATTTTGCAAAATTTTGTTAAAAATAAGCCAAAAAAAACCGCAGAATTAAGCCGAAAATGATATAATTATATTCATAATTTTTCGAAAGTTCAAGCAGATTTTTAAGATGAAAACTGATATTTTTACCTAACTCTTAAGCTTTAACTTGATTATTTCATCTAATTTTCTCGAAAAAAAAAAAAATCGAAAACCACCAAATTGGTTAAAAATAGTTCTGATTGTTTTTTACAATATATTACTACAGTCGAAAATGACAACTTATTTTTATTTTTTTTAATGCTTTTTCAACTAGAAACACAATTATTTTGAGAAATTTTGTCAAAAACAAGTCACAAGTTCAACAAAGTAGCTCAAAAAACGGCGTTTTTTTGAGAGATAAAAACCCAAAAAATTCGAAAAATCTTTTTGAGCAAAATAGGACAAAAATTAGCCGAGAAAACACAAAATTTGGTAAAAAATGCTTATAAGCAGGTTTTTGTACTATAATCTCAGGTTTTTCGCCAGATTTCGCTAAAACAAACTAAATTAAGTCTATAAAATTGTATTTTTCGAGCGTTTTAGTACGTTTTTCGGCTAGAAACGCAATTATGTCGCAAAATTTTGTTGAAAATAAACCGAAAAACCAGAATTAGGACAAAACTTTCAACTCGGATCTGATAAATTTTATGTTTTTGATCTGGCAACACTGACTAGCACGATCACTGGGATTTCATTCAAAAACACTCTGCATGCGTAACTCATAATCGATTCGGGAAATCACTCAATTAATCATTCAATTCTTAAAATAAATCGATTTTGTCAAATTTAAGACTCTTGTAATTTTTCTCCTAGGGGACGATTTCGATTTAGAGGTGATTGACGCCGAGGAGTTTCTCGAAATGTTGGGATTCCCCTGTCGTAGAAGCCCCCAAACCACCGTCTTGGACACCACCAAATCACAAACAGTGGAAACGGAAACCGTCGTCGAGAAAAGTGATTGTCTCACACCGGATGTTTATTGGTCACAAACCGAGCAGACGATCAAACTCAAAATTAAACTAATCGGTGTTGAGAATTATAAAACTAGCGTGATTCAGAAACGAATTTTCGTATTTAGTACATTTATCGGTGAGAAAAACTACCAATTGAAGTTTACGTTGCATAAAACGGTCGAATTGGCCAGTCATCGTGCTTTGGGACAAGAAGTTGTGGTCGTTTTGAATAAAGTGGAGTCTGTGGAGTGGTTACAGTTGACGGGGACCCAAAGACGGATGAGGTTTGTCCATTACGAAGTGCCCGATTTTAAAGAAGAACCAAAACGGAAGTTTCTCCAACTTGACATCACCGATGATGAGAGCGATGAAGATGATGGGGAAAAGCCAATGTATCATGTGATTTCTGACATGGACAGCGAGTTTGACGAAGAAATGGTTTCGAGTGATTCTGATCTATAATTTAATTTTTTTATGTTTTACTTTGGTTAATAAAAAAACGATTATTTTGGGGTATCATTGAAGCCGGTGATTGAGTGGGCGGGGTGTTTATCTTAACCTCTCCCGATAAACAAGACTAAATCACTGCTTCAGTGTCACATTTCAATTTAAAATCACTTCGATGTTTTATTCATCAAAATGACCCGAATTCAGTGGAAATCGCGACGTACCCTATACCTCCTAATCACCCTCGTTGTTTTATACCTAACAATCCGAATTAAAACCTACGAACACAAAACTTCAGTTCTCCTCACTGAGACGCACCCTAATGAAGTTTGGGAGTTTGTGGCCGACTTTAGCAACATGAAGTTGTTAAACCCCACAATGTGAGTACCAAAGTACGATTTTTTTTTTGCTTTAATTACGTTTCCCCCTTATAGAGTCGACTTCACAATCCTGAAGGAAAGTGGTAATTACGACCATTGGAAATACACGACTCAATATTCGGAATTTTTGTCACACTGGCCGTATTTGAGGAACGAGGCAATTGCACATTTTGAGGTCAAAGCCCGACCGGAAGAAAACGTTTATTTGATCACTTCAGTGCACAAGACTTGTCTCATGGGATTTTTTTGTCGTAAGATGGAAAAGTGAGTTAGGCGTGTAAAATGAACGATTTTTTTACAGTCGATTCAGAGGGCGAGTTTAAATTCTCGAAAAACGGTGCCTCAAACGGGGCGCTTTGTGAAGAGAACGTTTTGTATCAATGTCCGGCGATTTTAGCCCCGTTTTGTAGACGAGAAGTTGCGTTTCAGAGGACGGCCATTATGGACAACCTGAAAATTTATTTCAGGAAAAAACACACCTCTGTGTTCTGACGCGAATTATATTTTTATACGTTTTGGTATTAGAGCAAATAAATGAGATCTTGTCTGATAAAAATTATGATTGTCTCCGAAAACAAGAGATTTGTGCTGTTGCTGTTACATTTTTTATTCGGAATATTATTACGTTTATGGGATTACTGCCATTTTAAAAGATGGCTAAACCAGTGATGCCAAAAAAGATTAAGGATTGTAGCGTCAATGTGTTTGGTGTTAATTAAAAACAACAAGAAATCATCAAATGCGTTAACTTGACTAAGTCACAATATTCATATTGAAAGTTTTTGGAACTTTTTATAAATAAAAATAAAAAATCCCTACATTATTTAAAAATTTCAAAAAAATCTTTGTCAGAAAAATCCCTAGAACTAGGGAAAAATTCCCTAATCTGGCATCACTGCAAACCGGTTTATCTGCATTTTTTGTTTATTTTTACGTTCAATGTTTTATCTCCCTTACCTTTGCACGTATATAGAGCGACAGAGAGCAATTTTATCGGCTTTTAGTCTCCGCATTCCTGTAGAGGTGCAACCTTGTCGATTTTTTTCCTAGAGATTTTTTAATTACAGTTAATTCCACATAATTCCAATGCCTTCACCACACCTAACAACCGGTATGTACTCACCGTTAGTTGACAGAAATTCATCTTGTTTTAGGGTCCCAACAGCCCCCTAAAACCGAGGGCAAACTCCGTCTCTACTCGATGGAGTTTTGCCCTTATGCCCAACGCGCCCGTTTGGTGTTAAAAGCGAAAAACATCCCTCACGACATCGTCAACATCAACTTAATTAAAAAACCCGAATGGTATACCAAAATCCACCCTGAAGGTACAAAAAACTTAATTAAATCACACATTTTAATAAAATTATTTAGGCAAAGTACCGGCTCTTGACACCGGCTCAAAAATCATCGTCGAAAGTCTCGACATTGCCAATTTCCTCGACGCCGAATACCCCGACAACCCCTTGTGCAAGCCCGGCGACAAGGAATTGATCCAGAAAATCGCCCCCATAACCGACCTCTTCTACCAATGCCTCGCCAAAACCGAAAACAAATCTTTGGAGGAGTGGGCGCAAGCGTTCGCCCCCCATTTGGCGGTATTTGAGAGCGAGTTGGAGGCGCGAAAAAGCACGTTTTTTGGGGGCGAGAAACCAGGAATGGTGGATTACATGTTGTGGCCGTGGGGCGAAAGGGCTGGGACTATTGCGATCGCTCATGGGGCGCAATTGCCCTTCGCCAGCGATCAATTTCCGCGTTTGAGGAAATGGAGGAAGGCCATGAGGGAGGATAAAGTCTGCAGCGAGATTTACAATGGGCCGGAAAAGTTCTGGAAATGTGTCGAAATGAAATTGAAGAATTTGCCACCGGATTATGACAGTATTTAATTAGGGATTTTGTGATAAAATAAGCGAGGATCACATGTTGTAATTTACATAAATCTGGACTTTATCAACTGTGATTTGATTTATTTCATTTCCATCGACTTTCTCTTTTAAATATACTCTTTTTAGTCTTTTTCATATTAATGTGCATCAAGTAGGTTGTAGAAGTCTAAAGGCACAAATGTCATTCAGAACAAACTTAATGACAAAAATCTTTTGTTTACCACTCTATGTTAATTATTAATTAATTATTCTTTGCTACTTGGGGTGCACATATTTATTTGAGAAAATAATTTTTAGGGAAGATTGTGGTTTGAATTTTTACATGGTTGCCACCTTAAAATGATCTCTTTCAACGATTACTTTGATGTAAAACGCTTGAATCACTTATCAGTAGTCGTCGAAAACAACATGCCTCAACCACATCTAACAGCCGGTAAGTAGCGCAATTTGATTAAATAAATAAACATTTGTGATTAATTAGGGTCACAACAGCCCCCCAAAATCGCTGACAAATTGCGTCTGTACTCCATGGAGTACTGTCCATATGCGCATCGAGTTCGATTAATTTTAAATGTGAAAAAAATTCCACACGACATTGTAAACATCAATCTGATTAATCAACCGGAGTGGTATTTCAAAATCCATCCTCAAGGCAAGTTAAAAAGCCTCAAAAACCTCAAAACAACAATTTTCTAGGCTACGTCCCAGCATTGGACACTGGTTCTCAAATAGTCATCGAAAGCCTCGACATTTGTGACTTTTTGGACGACAAATACCCCTCTCCTCCTCTATACCCGTCAGATGCCCCCTCAAAAAACCTCGACAAAGCCTTACTCAAAAAAATCCAACCCTTGCATAGTGTCTTCCTCCGTTGCATCTCTCTAAACGAGAATAAATCACTCGAAGAGTGGGCACAAGAATTCCTCCCTCATTTGCAAACATTTGAAATGGAGTTGTGCCAGAGAGGGAGTAGGTTTTTCGGGGGTGAGAAACCAGGAATGGTGGATTACATGTTGTGGCCGTGGGGCGAAAGGGCAGGAACTGTTGTTATTGCACACGGACGACAATTGCCATTTGCTTCTGATCAGTTTCCACGTTTGAGGGAATGGAGGAAAGCCATGAGGGGGGATCCCGTGTGTGAGGGGCTGTATTATGGGCCGGAAAAGTACTGGAAAATTATACAGATTAAGTTGAGGAGGGCACCACCCGAGTATGATACTTTATGAAAATGCTTGTTATCTAATCAGCTAATAAAATTATTCGAGTGAATTAATTGTTATTAACAACTGTAACGCATTAACCGACTGGTAAATATTTACCTTTTGATACACCACTTGTTTGATTGATTCAGGGCCAACAATAACTCAAAGTCGCCACTTAGGCCCCATTTGTGGGGGTCAAACCTGCCAAAAGAGTGATTCAAAAGTGTACAAATAACCAAAAAAAATCACAAGTTATTGTTAATTTACCTTTAAAATACCCTTCCAATAGCCTCAAAACAGCTTTTTCGGTGTAAAAAGCCAATTTTTGCACAAAAACAACAATTTTCAAGTTTCACACAAAAAAACAATTGAGCGTTGCTATGGAGATATAAGATGTTTCATGTTGCCAACCCTATTAATCGCCTCACTAAAATTTTGAATTAGAATAACTTTTCATACTGCGAATCTTATTATTGCATAGAAAAACAATCTAAAACTCACAATAATGAAAATTATTATTGTTATTACTTCAATCAATGTTTTTTTTTTACAAAATTTTTAGTTACAAAACGACGAACATTTGTAGTAACCATGGAAACAAGGTGGTACCAACACTAAAATTTTGATTTGGTGACTTCCAAATTGATTTTTTTTGCATTAAAAGAAGTCGATGGAAAAGAAATGTACTGAGAGAAAGTGTAATCTCTTCACATTACAATTTAAATTCCAATTAATTACGTAATAAAACAGTTCACATTTGAATAAAACCGTTGTGCGCATGCGTTTTGGCTTTCGCGTTCAAATTCGAGTCGTCTGCGCACGTTTTCCGGTTCCGCAAAATGTCCGCCCTCCTCTTCGACCGCCATTATCGTTTCATCAATGGCTAAGTAAAGTGTAATTAATTTTTCTCCTCGGCTCAACGCATTGTCAAAATGTCAGTTTAGCACGTCAAGTTTTTGCACACGCAAGTGTGCCACACACCGTTCAAAATGCAGTAAGTTTTCTGTTTTTCCCCCCATTTTATTCTGTTTACTAATAATAACACCAGTGTTGTGATGGATGATTTCACCATATTGTCGGATGTCGTCATCTATTTTAATTCGTCATAAAATAACACGCTTTTAACCACAATTGAGGCAGGTGGAAAACGTCATTTCGTAATTTTTTCATTGTCAATTTTCTTATCACGATTATCATTTTTCAATATTCACTTATCAGTGATCCAATCTCGCGGTTTGTGTGACTCGAAACTGCATACAGAGTGTCTCACTGATAACTAATGTTGGTATACTAATAATATCAAAGTGTGTTATGATGTCATGAATTTCGAAGTGTCAAATTAAATGTCAAATTTTCTTACAATTATGTATAGTTTTAACAATTCTTGGTATTGAACGATAGAGAGATAATGTCTAAATTAAGAAATACGATTAAAATCCAGTTAATTCCTGAAAAGTATTCCACTATCAAAGTAAAAGTAGGTAACTGGTTTTAAAATGTCGATTTAAGGAAGTGGTTTCTAAGCGTTTTACTTGTCCAAAGCTGGTTATATGAAAAATGCAATGTTTTACAGGGTGTCCCAGTTTTTTGATTGATTAAGAAAGTTTTAGTTGAATCAGCTTGTATAATAAGAAAAGATATTATTTTAATTGTTTTGATTGATCCAATAATTTAAAGTACTTATTATTACATCCAAATTCTAGGCCATGTCATGAATCAATAAAGTCGGCTTTGTTTGACATAGCCAACTACGTAATACAGTATAGATTGAAATTAATCCAGATTGTAGATAGTATTATGTTTACTGATTGGCTGGCATGCAACTGTTTTTTTCACATGAGACTTTCAGTTTGATTAAAATTTTTATTTCACCATAAAAAAATGAGAATTTGTTCAGGCGTCCTGAATTTCAAGTGTTTTTTATATAATCTTCTAGAAAATTGATGAATGATTATTTTTTTCAGAGCCAAAATGGCACTTCTTACGCCCACCGCCGCCGTAATCCTTTCGGCTGAAGAAATCAACTTAAACAATCTTTCAAATTTGAACAGCGAACAACGAAATGAGTTGTACGCCGTTCATCATCGAAAAGGAAGAGCCATTGTCACCTCTCAGTAGTGAAGAGGTGTCATGGCTCTCCGACGACACATTCTATCAAACACCAACGGACCACGAAAACATCAAATTCGAACATGATTTTGTCCCTTGTTGCGAAACGAAAGCGGAAGTCGCCTCGCTCATGCTTGAAAACCTCGAAAATTTGATCAATCTGGACGAACTCATCAAGGAGGGTGCGTAAATGCAGAATTAGGCAACCAATTATACACACGTAGTCATGTTATGCCATTACCGTAGCAACCATTATTATATTAGGGGTGGTAACCATAGCAACTGTCAAAATCATAATCATGTGACCTGGCCATGGCATACTGTGATAGGTGATAAAAAAATTAATCTGGGGTTGCGTGTGATACGATTTTTGAGTTTTAAATGCGATAACTTGGCTTATTTTAGGCATGACTTTTGTTATTTGAAAAAATAGTGTCCAACGGTCCATAAAAATTACTTTTCCAGTAATAAACACAGTCAAGGTTCTGATAAAATAGCTTTGTTAACAGTAACCTTGCTCATTTGCAACCCTGTTGCAATAAAGCATTAATTTTGATTTTTTTCCTAGATAACGCATTTGCGTGTTTGGTTTAGGAAAAAGTTTAATTACAGTTAGTTTAAACATTAAAACATTACTTGTTTTGTTGGTTTTTATCACAAGTGACTCAAAACGTAATTTCCATCACAATTTCTTATTTACAAAAATACAATTATCGCGAATTTGAATAAAGGACATTTGTGATGTTGATAATGTTGAAAAAATGCTCGGCATTGATCTTAGACCTCTCTAGAGCGTTATTTTCCACCTGTTTGTGTCAAATTTCGAATAATTTTGGTGTTATCCCTGTTATTTTAGTGGTATAAAATGTGTTTTGTTATCAAGTTGGTATCACGTCTTGGAGGGGACGCTTGAGGGTCGCCCAGTCGCCACTCTCGTCCAGTCAAATTCCACTTGTCGTTCTGTAATCCACGCGCAGCTCGAATATCGTCCCAAATAGATTTTGTGGTCTTGTTTTTGTGAAAAAATTTCTAGTAAAAGTGCAATTTCTGCGTTCGGATCCTGATGAATTATCGTACAAATGAGCAGTGTCGTGTGTAGCATGAAGTGCAGCTACCATTACACGTGGAATCGGGAAATTGTGTTCAATTCACAAAAGTTGGTGAAAAGACGTTGATTTGGACCGAAATCACCCAAAAGTCCCCTCAGACGCCGCCGCCTCCGCTTTAATTTTTTTCTTCTTTCTACAACTACTGCCAATAAAACTGTTGACTCTGTGTGTTTGATAGTTGGTGACCTCTGCCAATCAACATAATGGCTGTTTGTTATGGTAGGTCGACCTGGATTTGTTGAAGCGAAAATGTTGACCGATGAGGAAAAAATATTTGAATTGCTAAGACAAGTCGGGTGGAGGTCAAGGAACCGTCGTGGATGGCGACTGTTATCACAACACGATTTAAAATTTGCCAAAATGAAAAAAAAAAACTGTTATGTTGAGAAATCATAATTTGGCCTTCACGCTTTTAGTCTTGAATATTGTTTCTTGAATTAAAACAAAGTTCTAGATGTTGGAGTACAGGAAGTTGTCCAAAAAGTGCGAATTCACCTCACTTATTTTAGAGTAGTGCTCGAGATAAAGTACTCAAGTCCTGGTTTTAATTATAACATGTCATTTATTTATCACAATGTATATCCTGGACGGTTGAACCCTTGATTAGATTATTGTCCGGTAGAAATGAAAGAAAAAACAGCGTTTAAATCAATATTTGACGAACAATAGTTTAGAATGAAAGAGATGTTTCCGAAAAACTCAATTTTTCTGAATATTTTCAATGTCTTCGAGATTGTTGTGTTACGCATGGTCAAATCGAGGTAATCTAGTTGTCGTAACAACTATTAATTTATTAGTATTGCTCAAGGAATTGCTGAGCGAAATATTTTGCATTAACTTAACATAAATCTGCAGTTTTGTTTTTTGAGAAAAATAAGTTGCTGCCTTTCGTTTTGTAGATAAAGTAGTCTCATTAAGATATCTAATCGGGGAAGGATAGGTCAAAGTTGGGGCCAACTCAAATCAAAAAATGCATCGTTTATTTTTAATGCGGGTAGTTTTTAATTGAATATGAAATTAATAAAAATCTACATTTCAAGGTCTTCCACTGTGATATACGCAGCTACGCAATTCTGATAGATACAATGAGAAAAAGTTTAATATGTATGCGATAATTATAATAATGATTAGAACAACTTTCATGCACGCCCTGTTTTGTAACCCACCGCTAGTTTCTCTTCCGATTAAATTCACCAAATTCAAAAAACTGCGACATTTAGTGTCCTTGGAACAATTACTGAACTTTGACCCCTTTGTAAATAAGTCGATTCTTGAAAACATCACCGGGTAATCCCCGCGGGAAAATTTCGTTCCAATAATTTCAGTGTGATAAAAATTGTAACATAACAGAAATCAACTTTCTTTATTTTAACGACTTCATTCCGTGTTTTTTTTTTTTAATAAATCAAATAGAAAACACAACCGGCTCTAAAATGTATGTTTTGACCTTCTGGAACAAGTGACACACCTAAATTCGCACGATTAATAATAAAATCACTACATTTTTCATAAATGAATAAAGTAAACAAATGTTTTTATTAAAACAATGTCGACATGAATTTACATTACAAACTAAGAGATAACTTATTGTCGCCTTTAATTGTTATTAATACGTTTACTATCACATTTCCTGTGCTCCTTTGAGACAAGGCCGTAACAAAATACTTTCACTAGAGCTACGATATTTGATACTAAGATCCAACATCTGGTTTGAATTTTTGTCAAGTCATTCGAATAGTTTGTGGAAATGACGTCAACACACCTGTCGCGATTTAAGATAAATAATAAATAAACCAAATTTTCTAAAAATCAAAATTGAAACAACAAACCCCCTTATCCGTTCCAAACGAGTCGCACATGTGCGTAAATTCATCCAGTTACTATAGAAACGCACTGTAACCATGACAACAAAAACGTGGAAAATTAATATTACCATGGTAACAATAACATAAGTGACTTCCGGCCAGTGGCGTAACCTTGACCCATTTAGTGTAAAATAAATGATTTGCTTTCGTTGAATCACTTGCCCCCAATTTCGTTCCGAGTTAACCTCTTAATTGAATTTTTCCCGTTTCAGAACCATCATTCCTCCTCGACGAGAAAATCCTCCCAAATATTCTGGACGATGTGGACCAAACCCGTGTTATACTCCCCCCACCTCCTACAAAATTGGAGTACGTCACCAATACCGACACCCAATTCCTGCTCAAAGAATTCGAGAATGTCTATGACGTTGTTGAACTCACCCATGAAACTCTCACCCCGCCTCAGAGCCCCCCTCATGAATATAAAATCCTGACGACTTTGGAGCCGCTCCTCCAGAGTGAGAAAGCACCCCTTTTGGCGTACCCCACGGTGATGACGCCCCAGCCCGACATCGCGCACGAGTTGGCCGTTGTTGACGAGTTGGTGCGCACCCGCGTGGAGGACATGCAATGGAGCAGTGGCCCCTCGTCGCCGAGCGGAAGTAGCAATTTCGGGGATTGCTCCTCGGATGACCCCGAATGGATGCCCGAGCCGGTGGAGAACTACGATGGAGTTGTCTCGCCGAAGCAAGGAAGGAAGAGGGCGAAGCCCTATTCGCGTACCTCGCCCGTTGATAAAAAATCAAGGAAGAAGGAGCAAAATAAGAATGCTGCGACGAGGTACCGTATGAAGAAGAAAGCCGAAGTCGAGGTGATTCTATCAGAAGAGAAGCAATTGACCATGAAGAATGAAGAGTTGGATACGAAGATTAACGATCTTCAACGGGAAATCAAGTACTTGAAGGGGCTCATGCGCGATCTATTTAAAGCAAAGGGACTTATCAACTAACAAACACAATTGGCAACACTAATTTTAGCTACTATGTTTTTCCCCTAGGTTACGTAATGTTTGATAGCTTGTTTGTTGTCCAAGAAAGTTGTTTAAGTGTTGTTTAGCTTAAGTTTTACTAGTAGTTTTTGTATCATTGGGGCTGTGCCCCAATATTTTTATTGCTTGCTCATTTATGTCTTAACACTTGTAGTTTTACTTGGAGTACTAACTAATAAAGGATCATTTTTAGGTGGGCACACTTTTTTATTGTTTAACCACTTCATAATTACCAACTGTAGTTTTCAGCCACTGTACCCAAGTCTCATCTACTATTTTACTTAAAGTAATTTCTTTGAAAACATTGCTGTGACCAGTTTCTAAAAACCCACAATTCCTAAACATGCGAATACTGACATCATTTTCATCTGAAACTTTCACAACGAACTGTCTCACACCGAGTGTTTCAATTCCGTAGAGGAACATGAGAAGCATGGCTTCAGACCCGCATTTCCTACCTCTGGCCCATTTTTCAGCAATCATAATCTCGGCCTCGGCACAAATCCTGTCGTCGGTGTTTGCAAAAAAGAGGTTTGTGTCCCCAATCATCGACTCTTGAAACACGTGCAATTTTGTGATGATTTTTGGGTCAAAACTCACCAATTTCATTTCCACTACTGTTGTATTTCCCCTTATCGAGGATTATGAATGTGCATTCTGGAAAAATTAACAAGTTAAAAAACACTAAAGTGTGTCATTTACTGTCTTCATCCATCATCCAAGACTTCTGCATGGCGTATTCCTCCTCCAAAGAAAGGGGCTCCGAGGCTGTCAGTTTTTGGAGCTCTTCAGACTGCATCCAAGTGTGATACCTGCACGATTAAAATCACTAAATAAGTGTTACTTCGACTCACTTTAAGACATGTTCGGGTTTGTAGGGCACAAGGATTGTCCTAGAGCCGATTATTTTTGTGTTTTTGTTGATCAACATTTCTAGGTTATGGGAGCCACAGCCGAACTTTGATACCGAAATGTTAAATGTTATAATGAAATAACTTGACTGTACAAATTCGCACATTGTTGGGTTTACAATCACCAATTTTTATTAACTCAACGTGGTGTCTTTCACGGCTTTAAAATCAAAATTTATGTTTGTTTCAGACGTAAAAACGTTAGTCGTTTCGGGCATTCGAGTGTAAAGTGATTCGGCCGTGTGCACATGTGTGGTTTACAATGAGTTTTTGAGGTGAATTTTGTGGAAATAGACTAGAGTGATATAAAAATGGGGCGCAGGTCGATTAATACCACTAAAAGTGGTAAATACATGAACCCCACGGACCAAGCCAGTAAGAGAAATGTTTGGGTTTGAGGTTAGGTCACAAAATGTTGTCTTTTAGGAAAAGAAGCCCGGAAGCAAGAATTAAAAAAGAACAAGAAGCAAAGACAGATGGTGCGTGCTGCTGTCTTGAAAGGAAAAGACCCCCAACAGATTTTAGAAGAAATGGAGAAAATTGACCAAATGGGTATTTTTTTCTAGTTAAATAACCGTAAAACTTGACTGTTTTTGTGATTTTAGAGTATAATGTTTATCAGCCGTCGCCCTTAAACGAGAAAGTCCTGAAAGATAAGCGAAAAAAGCTCAGGGATACGTTAGATCGCGTCCTTAGTATGTATGTAAGTGGGGAATTTTTCTAATTTTTCTCAATTGGTTGGTATTAATCGTGAAATGTTTTAGTATAAAGACGATCCGGACAAGTGGGCCGATTTGAAACGAAGACAAGCCGACTATGAGCATAAAAGAAACCAGTTGGTTGCATTTTACGAGTCTGTTAAAAGTGCACAACAAGTCCAAGTTGACGAAATTCCTCTCCCACAACTCCCCCAACAAGCTACCAACGCCCCAGCGCAAATCCCCCTACCTTCGGAGCGGAAACAAGAACACACGATTTATTCCATAGCCACTGCGTTAAAACTCCAAGCCTTGGTTTGTATAAACCACCGAGGAAATTTCTTATTTATTTGTTTAAATCAGGGTCAACCTGTGCGTGAGCCCCCTGGCTGTCCTCCCGGCCCCCCACCTGACATAACCGACGACGGCGAAGTCGACGACTTTGAGGAGGAAAAAGAGGAAACGACCGAAGACTCCACCGACATTGACCCCGCCTCCAAGCCCACCTCCCTCCAACAGAAAATGGTGGCTTTATCCGGGCAAAATGTCGACGATTTTATGAAAGAAATGGAAGTCGTCCAGAAAAAACTCGAGACTAAAGAGGACGAAACTAGGAAAAGCCATCTTGAACCGCTCATACCTCCCGGTACGGACCTCCCCCAACCCCCCGCCCCGCTTCTCTTCCCCAATCCGGGACTGCGATTACCGCCAGGTCCGCCCCCTGGGCGGCCTTTACTCCCACCAGCGCCCCCACCGGGATTACCACCGCCGCCTAGAATGCCACTTAGAATACCACCGGCGCCGCCTAGGATGATTCGCTTGCATGGGCCGCCGCCTACGCTCCCTGGGGGGCCATTAGGGACACCGAATGTGTTGTCAGCAGCCCCGCAACTTATCAATCGGGTTGAGGGGGCCAAACAGGGGGCGACGATCACGGCAAAGCCGCAAATTCGGAATTTGAGTGCGGATGTTACGAGGTTTGTGCCCTCGGCGTTGAGGGTCAAGAGGGAGGATAAGAAACATAAACCGAATACGAGGACGTTGCACGAGTTGAAGCAGAAAGAGTATCATTTGCATCAAAATGCGCATCCGGAGCAACATACCAAGGATGATGCCTATAAACAGTTCATGGAGGAAATGCAGACGTTGTTGTAGTTTTTAGTTGTAATGAAAAATTACAGGTTCCTGTAATGCGGATTTTTTAAACCTTGATTCATGCACAATTGTTAGAGCAACACCTATAAACAGTTTAAGGTGCAAGTGAAGGCAAAGTTAATTAACAAAATTACAGGTTTTTGTAATTCGGATTTGCACTCAGTCCTTGATTTTTGCGTAATCCTTTACAAAATAGGGATCCAGAGCCACTTATAAAGTAAAATGTTTATAAACAGTGTGGAAGAAATGCGTGGTTTTGAATTGTAATAATTTTAGAAAATTGCAGGTTCCTGTAATGCGGATTTTCACTCAAATCTTGATTTTTGCATAAGTACGGATCCAAAGCCAGTTTACAAAGGATAATAACATGCATAGTTTTTAATTATAAGAATTTTAACAAATTACAGATTCCTGTAATGGGGATTTTAATCGCAATTTAATAAAGTCGCATTGTATATCTTATATTTGGCAAATGGATAATACAAACAACGGTACCTATCATTGTAAATATTTACTTAAAATAAAAAATAAGGAGCAAGAGTCAAACAATTGTGACCACTGAAAAATAAAACCGTTCGTTTCCCGTGTTGGAAGAAAAAAAATTTGATCCTCGCTCCCATTCGGAATATTATAAAATAAATATAAACGAAAGAAACACAAATTGATACATTTGAGCCATTTAAAAAAAAAGTGGCAGTGAAATATTTGTAACTATTGTTGTGACCAAACTAAAACAATGCTTTTCAATGATGTATCAATTGTTTTCCTTCCTTGTACAGATCATAAAATTAAAGAAAAACGAGACATTATTGCTTGAACTGTGAAAATGAAAATTGAACAAAACAATTATGAGATCATATTTTTGTAGAGAGAGAGAGAGCAAACAGTAGTACAGCATTGTTCAAAACAATTTACATTTAGAGCGGCTGTTTTTTTTATTCAGTTATTTATTTACAAATTACTTTCACTTCACAATATAAAATAGTTACCTGTACTTCAAGATGAGTATTTATGAATGACAAATGGATAAATTGTATAATAAATACAGGACTAGGTATAGTGATGAATGAATGAAAGTCAAATGTTTGATATGTTACGACTACCTTGGCGAGAAGCGACTTATCGAGTTCGTATTGGCCCTCTTTCGCACCAATCGTGTACAAACTGAAACACAAAAATAACTAAAAAGTACAGATTCCTGTAAAATTACTCACTCGCTTCGTCTTGCCTCGTCAGCGGTCGTCCCAACACCCTCTCAATCACTTCAATCCACTCGTCTCTTTCCGCCTCCGTTTGCGCCGACAAATTAAACACCCGATCTGGTGTCGTCAACGCGAACGAAAACCCCTGATCCCGCACCCCCGCCGACACCCCAATCCTCACACTATACCCATCCATGGCATACCCGAGGAAAATCTCCCCTTTGGGATGCGCATCCAACGGCTCATCATGATACATCAACTTGCGATTATCCAATGTAAACCAGCGTTTTTTGAATCCATCACTCGTCCTCGGCCCCGTCTTCCACAACCATCCCTCTTTGGCGAAGTCCTCGGTGAGGAAACCCAACAAATCGGACTCGTTCGCCGACGGATAGGCCACTTGGAGGCGGTGCAGTTTCGCACACCGAATCGCCATATACCAATTTGTTATCACTTCACCATCTTCATGATATACGAAAATATGACGCGTTGTGCCGTATTTGAGAAATGTCAATTGAAGCGATGCCGGATATTCCATTTTTTCCGGTGCAAAAACCACATTCAATTCGGACACTTCCAATTCGGCCTTGGGACTTTTCTTCTCACGAACGAAATATTTCAGCGTGTTTTCGGCTTCGGAAAGGACGAATTTACGCGAATGATAACGACTATCCTCTTTACCGCGTTTCATGAGGAAACCCTCCATGTAACCGCTTACGTAGACTAGTCTTTGCGATTGACAGAATTCTTCTCTTTGGTATTTAGCTCGGATCCATTGCTCGATTAACACTCTGAAATTTTTTTATAAATTAATTTGAATCAGTACAGGGAGAGAGAGGGGGGCTTACTGTGGATCGTTTTCTTTCGGTCTTCGATAACAAGGGGGCACACGTTCTTCATATTTCAGTTTCGATTTTATATTTCCCACTTCTTTCATACGTTCGACTTGAGAGTCCTCCCAACGATCGAGCTTCAAATGTTTCACTTTGCTTATATGCACCCCCATGCTGCGGTGAACACCCGAACATCGGGTGCAAATGAAAATACCCAAGTTGTACGATGCCCATTCTGGATCTAAAATTAAAAAAAAAAAAAAGATATTACAAATAAAAAAACTCAACGATATGTTTAAATTAATGTGGGCTGTGACCCAAATTAAGTTGGCAATATTTGATGACTTGTCTAATATGGTTTCCAATGTTGCCACTATGATCAGAAAAAACTCACTTTCTTGATATTATGACGAAACATAATGACAAAATCTACTTCTAAATTAATTTAATTAAATTTCACATCAAGGTGGCATGTGACTTTTAAATTAAGTTGGCAATACTGAATGACTTGACTTGTTTTCCAAAGTAATTTCAAAAGCACAGGCCACTTTGTCCACAAAACTGTCACTCTTTTGATATTATGACGAATTAAAATAAATTTTAAATCAAAGTAGACTGTCATATCTTGTTTTCCAATGTTGCCAATTTAATTTCAGACACTGTGATCACAAAAAAACTCACTTTTTTGATATTATGACGAAACAAAATGACAAGATCTACTTTTAAATTAATTTAATAAAATTTCACATCAAAGTGGCCTGTGACTTTCAAATTAAGTTGGCAATACTGAATGACTTGACATAACTTGTTTTTCAGTAAGCAAATGTAACTTCAAAAGCAAGGCCACTTTGTACACAAAACTGTCACTTTTTTGATATTATGACGAAATAAAATGACAAAATCTACTTTTAAATTAATTTAATTAAATCTCACATCAAAGTGGCCTGTGATTTTCAAATTAAGTTGGCAACATTTGATAACTTGTCATATTTTCTGTTTCCCTATGTGGCCAAATTAATTTCCAAAGCACAGACCACTTTGATCACAAAAAAAAACTGGCAGCACTTTTTGATATTATAACGAAACAGAGTGACACCACTTTTTTTAAATTAAATTTCAAATCAAAGTTGGCTTAAATTAAGTTGGCAATACTGAATGACTTGTCATATCTTGTTTTCCAATGTTGCCAATTTAATTTCAAAAGCACTTTGTACACAAAAAACTGTCATTTTTTTCTATATTTTGACGAAACAAAATGACTAAATCTACGCATTTATCATACCATGCGCTTGGAAATCCCTTTATCTGAATTTTTATCGCAATGTCTACGGAAACTTGATATTTAAGTGTTAAAATAAACACACATTAAATTCTCTAAATATAATTTTGAGAGAATGCAAAAAAAACTGGTTATTAATATCATTTTTTTCCATTTCTGATATTTGATAACAAATTTCACGTTAAAAAATTTCCGTATTTGTTATTCCGTGAAAAGATAATCAATTTATAAACGGTATGAATTTTGTGTGACAATCGTAGTAGGCCGGCCAAATTTGTCGTGGCCAACTGAGCCAAACCTAATTATTTAAGTTGCTAGGCATTATAATAAATGAATGACAGATGTATGTCAAAGTGAAGTCAAGGCATTGCCTTCTACTTTAATAAGATGAGAACGAGGTCACAGTTAACTGTGACAAAAACAGTCAAAAATGACAATTTTGTCATCGCCAACTGTCCAACAAGCGTTTATCGTCAATTATTATTAATTGCGTGCATTCTCTCGTTATAAAAATAAGTCTAGCGATTGAATAACAACAACAACATTTGAAGAGTCAACATACTAGGATAAAAAGCAACAAAATGCTCCCTTTCGTGGGTTTGTTTACAAGTTTCGAGTCATGGCCTCGAGTTGTACTCACTTTTGCTCCCACAATCGGCACATGTGTTATTTCCTGGTAGTTTCAACAGTTCTAATAACACTTTTTCGTTACGATCGACCATAATTCGTCCGTAAATCACAACAAAACAACACTAAAACACTTTTTAAAAGCACAATGGTGTCGTCGTGTCGTCCATTTTGCTTGTTGTTTTGACATATTTGACAGTGACGCAAACATATTTTATGGCCCTTGGCCAGTATGGATTCTGGTTGTTTGTAGAAACTTAACCTTTCTAGACTGTTTTCAATTTCAGGTTGTGACAAACGGAATTTTTGCGTAAAGAAGCACGAATACGATTAGATGTCTCAACCTAGATGACGCAAATAAATTTTATTTATGTATTTTACGCAGTATGGAATTTGGTCGATTTGTGAAAATTTGACATTTCTAGGCTGTTTTCAGGTTGTGACGAGTAAATTTTCGCGAAGTGAAACATGAATTCGATTTTGAAACCCAATACGGTTAGAAGCCTAGCCAAGGCTTTCAACCCTAATCGCCTAGGTTGTGTCCGTCATGGGTCGTTTAAGGTTCAAGATGACAAGGATTTTCTCGAGAAAGTCGAGAATAGCAAAGAACCGGTGATTGTTGACTTTTTTGCGACGTAAGTTTTGCATGATTAAAGGTCATGAAGTGAGATTGTCATTTTTCAGGTGGTGTGGACCTTGCAAGGCTCTTGAACCTAGGTTGGAAAACATTGTTGCTAAAAGAAACGGCAAAATCACATTGGCGAAAGTCGATATCGATTCTATGGGCGAATTGGCGGCCAAATATGAGGTAAAAGTCACCAAAATCGTGGAAAAGTAGCCCAAAAATGCGTTTTAGGTTAGCACAATTCCAGCTTTAGTTGTTTTTCGCAATGGGAAAGTCCAGGAAAGGCTAACTGGGCTCCAAGATGAAGACAAACTCAGTCTCTGGGTGGACAAAGTCTTGCAGTCAAAGTAGGGAAAATGATCGAAATGTGATTAGAAGCATTATTATATGTAATTGTTCGATGTACTTTAGATGTTTTAAAACTTAATACAATAAATTTGTTGAGTGTTAAAACTAGCTTTTTTTTTACTCCAAAACCGACAAAAATAGCATTTTTCTTATTTAATTGACCCCTAAAGAAGCAATTTGCCGGCCTTGACATTTTAACAGACGGGTGATAAAAGATAAAGCCAAAATTTTGCAATTTTTAAACAAATTGCAAAATAAAGTATGAATTTTCAATGGTAGTTCAAATTGAACGGTTTTGGGTCCAAATTTTGAAAAATTTGATTTAATAATTTACATTGCTTTTAAAAACAAAACGTGCGTTTAAAAATTGTTAAAAAATTGCGTTGTTTTGTGCATTTTGTATATTTATAATTGTAAAAGTTATTAATATTGAAGTAGCTCAAGTACGCGGTAGCTCATTTTGCAATTCAAATAAATCTACAAGTTAGGTAATTTGAATTTTTTGAGTTTTAGCAACAAATTTTTTTTTAATGGCATTTGGTCACAGTTTGGGCTTAATTGTGATAATGTTTTTATTGTGAAAAAAAATACCATGAAGTGTTGCCAACCGTACCTGCGTAGTTTTGTACTTTGTAGGTTTTACCGACAAATTAATTTTTTCGTAGCATTCGGTCACAGTTTGTGTCTAATTGTACAATTCTTATAGTTACAAATAATTTTTTACATTTTTTATTGAAAATAAATGACCTTGAAGTGTTGCCAACCGTACTAGGTCGGTGTTTATACTTGAATTTCTCGCATTTTACCCCCAAATTAATTTTTTTTGGTGGCATTTCCTCACAGTTTGCGCCTAATTGTAATACTTTTTGCGGTTAAGAATTTTATTATGTGTTTTTCTCCTATTTTTTTGGGGATTTTTGGTTTGTTGGAAAAGTTGTAGTGGGCGTGGGAGTAATTAACAGCTGATTGTCAAACAATCACAAATTGGTGAAAAATGGAATTAAATGTGTTAAAAGTGATGTTGAGAACATTAAAAGCGCCACTGTGGTGGTAAGGTGGCAAAATGTGTCAAGTTTCATTCAAAAATCGTAACTCTGGGTGTGTAATTATGTAAGAATGGAAGGAGTACAACAGCCCCCTTGTACGTGTCAATGGTGCGATTTTGTGACACTTCCAAGTTTGCTGAATCACCATTATGAGAAATGCCACGGTTCGCGTGAATTCAAGTGTGACCACAACCCCCCTGAAGCCTACTTCTGTAACTATTGCAATTACACCACCCAGTTTAAAGTAGCCTTAAACCAGCATGTGAAGACAACACACACCACTAACCCCCCACTTGATTACAATATAAAAAGCCACATTTGTAGTGTCTGCAATTTTGAAACATCCTCGATTTTATTATGGGTAAAACATGGCCTAGCCCCCACCGAATGTGGAAAAGAAATCACCAAGTCATGGTTCCAATGCGACTTCTGCGCCATCATCAAGAACCGTAAAGTGAACCTCGAGTACCACATCCTCAAGAACCACACCGATTCTGCGTGCATAAATTGGTTCAAATGCGAACAATGCGACTACAAGTCATTCCGTAAAGCGACTTTGAAACGTCACATGGCCATAATCCACGCCACTGAAGACACCCGTGTGCACCCATGCGGGTTTTGCCCCTATCGGGCACACACCAAACACACCCTCAAAGACCACATCAAATTCAAACACACGCCCCCTGAAGACATCCAATGGTACAAGTGCGACTATTGTTTGCACCAATCAAAAAGCAATCGTGAGTTGCGCGCGCACTTTCTCACCAAACACGCCCCTCCTGATGAAGTCACGTGGTATCAATGCACCCAATGCGACTACAAGACGAAACAAAAGCAACTCTTGCGCACGCACACTTATTATCATCATACTTCAAGTGATGAGATTAAGTGGTTTAAGTGCGAGGAGTGTGATTACAAGACTAAATACAAGCATAATTTGCGATTACACATGTCGAGGAGGCATTCAGCCGCGTTGTATGACACCGAACAGTGGTTTAAATGCCCTCAATGTGAGTTTAAAACACGCACAAATTTCCACTTGATGGATCATATTAATGTGCAACACTCGGGGGGCGAAGAAAAGTCACTCAAGTGTGATTTATGCCCGTTTCAAACCGACCATAAGTATTACATGGATCGGCATAGATCGACTCATGACATCAAGTGGCATCAGTGTCAAAAATGCAACTACAAAACTAAACTAAAAATGTGTCTCACTCAACACATCTATAATAAACACACCGAACTTGAAATCAAGTATTACAAATGCGAGTTTTGCTCGTATAAAACCCGAAATGGGGCGAAATTGCAGCCCCATATCGTGGAGAATCACTCCGATGCGAAGGAGGTGTATTTCAAATGCGAGCATTGTGATTATAAGACTAAATTGAAGGGGTTGATGAAGTCGCACACTATTCGAAAACATGCCCCACCTGAGGAAATCAAGTGGTTTAATTGCGATCAGTGTGATTATAAGGCCAGGATTAAGTTTAATTTGACCCAACATTTTAAGACTCATCATTCGAGTAATGAAAAGGAGTTTGGGTGTCCTTTGTGTGAGTTTAAGACGAATCGAAAGTATTATTTAAAAAGGCATCATTTGCTTATTCATGCCACTCCGGATGAGATAGAATGGGTCAAGTGTGAGTATTGTGATTATAGGTCGAAGGAAAGTCGCAGGATGAAGGGACATGTCAAGAGTAAACATTCGAATGTGGATGATGTGAAATTGTTCAAGTGTGAAAAGTGTGATTTTAGCACTAAGAGGCAGAGGGTTTTGGAAAGACATGAGAGTAATAAACATTGATGGGTGGTTGGCTTCCGCTTTTTGATGTTTTTCGTACTAGGAAGGAATCTTTTATGCTTTAAAATATTGTAGTTTTAGGATTTTTTCTCGGTGTCAGTGCCTGTGAATTACTTGTGTGCAATTTTATGAGATCGCTTATTTATTATTAAATTATAAAATTTTCGTAAAAATTTGTTTTGTTAATAAATATTTTCCTATGAATGCGTTTTATTTCTGATAATTTAAAGAGTTATGGGTTTAAAAGTTACTGTTTTTGGAAACTTTTTTGTTTGTTATATTATTATTAATTATTACACCCTAAGGCTTATGCTTTTAACCTTATTCTTAACTTTATTACTCAATATCTCAAATTTTACGTCTAGAAAATCATATTGCAAGCATTTTTACGACTTAAGGTGAATTAGGTAATTTTTTAAACTTGATCTCAAATAATGTTTTATGTACCGTGCGATCAAAAAAAAAATTTGAGTAGGCGGTGATTAAAGTCCTTCAGATGGCAACCCTGATTTGTGATTTTTGACATCAAATGTCAGCGGAAACTTTGACAAGTTTGCGTTTTATTCCTTTTGAGTGAAATAATGTTCACTTTAGAGCAGAATTTTTTTATTGGTGTACAAGAGGAAAAGGGTGGATGGCCATTTTCACTTTCAGTTTGCCTAGAAAATTTCCAGCCAATGTGTTGCCAACTGTAGAATTTAATCGACACCTACTTTAATTAATTTTTTATTTGATCGCACGGTACTTTTAGGACCTCTAGAAATGTAAAAAACTTTATATGGATCAATTCTAAAGTTATTTTTTTTTTATTTTTGTCGAAATTTTGGTCGATTTTTCACACCCGGAGCGGTCTAGTGTCAATCTATGTATATATTTTATTTATTTTACCCTTAATAAAAATATTTTATTAATATTTATTTTATGGAATTCAATTTTTTTAACTTAAAAATATGTCTGGTTGCATATCCTATTTTTGAACGACGCAAATTCGCGCGAATAATGGGCACACGTGATTGGTGCAAAGTTATGAAGCAACATTCTTACTTATTATTATTATTATTATTATTATTATTATTATTACACTTATAGTTCTATCAATTTTTGTCATTTTGAAGGCCACATCATTTTTAAAAATTACAATAGAGCATAATTACCAACTTAAACATCATAGACAAAAAACCCCAATTTTGGCAATTTTGTTTAACCAAAAATTTCTGAAAAATGATCTTGTTTTTCCCCGTAGTCCTAGAAACATCGATTTATTCCACTCTATGATTCCACTCAAAGTCAGGTCAAAGTGTCAATTTTTGCGTTTTTCGCCACACCTCGACTTGAGAAGAAAAAAAAATGGATATTAATTTCGTGTACCAAAAGAAACGAAGCGAATTCGGAAAACAATGCATGTTTTCGGACAAGGGCCCCGAACTGATCGACAATTTCCCCTCAAACAAGAAACTCTTACGCAACTACATTCTCAGGTATTGAAATTTCCCACATCGAAATAGCATAAAACCGAATTTTTGTTTTTAGAGACCCGGTTTCACGGTCGACTCATTGCGCCCCCATCCAAGCCCAACACTACCTCAACACCACCCGCGCCGAATACACCAACGCCGCCATGAACCACATCGAGGGGGGCTGGCCCAAGGATGTCAACACCGCCGACGAGGAGCAAACCAAAAGGTACCGACGCAAAGTGGAGAAGGACGAAGGGTTCCATCACACAGTCATGCAACTCTGTCGCGTACTATAGTTAATTAATTCAATTAATTTTCGTTAATTGTAATTTGCGTAGAATATGGAAAATTGCATTTTGCAAAATAACGCGATAAACATCTACCAGCAGTATTTCTCGGATGTGGAGGCGACCCCTTTGGTGGAGCGCAGCTCCGCACGGACTGTTAACGTCTACCAGGACCAAAGTACCCCAACTCGGCCTGTGACCCACATTTCGTGGTCCCCCGACAACCAGACGAAACTCGCAGTCTCGCATTGTAATCTCAGTTTTCAGGCTGTTGTCCCCAATCAGACTACACATTCCTACATTTGGGAAGTTGGTAATGACCCCCATGTTATTATTAATTGCATGATTTTAAGGTGGCAACCATGCGAAATTTCAAATAATCCTAACGTCAATCCAGTGTTGCCACCAGATCTGGTGATTTTTTGCAAATGAAAATGATATTCTTTTTTAATCTTTTTCGAGTATTTTTAACGTTTTTCAGACAGAAACTAGATTAATTTTAAAAACTATCAAAAAGTTTAAAAGTAGTTGTTTATTTAATATATATTTTAGTTTTAAAATTAAATATTTTTATTTAGTTTTAAAATTGTAGTGAGAAAGTTAAAAATCAAGTTGTTGCTTTTATTTTACTATAAAATATCATTAATTTGTTTTTTTTCCAAAAATGTGTATAATTGGTTGCATATCTCACAAAATGTTATCAAAACACCTCGAAAATTTAACAAAATAAGCCCAAATACTGTTATTATTACTTTTTTCGAGTGTTTAAGCACGTTTTTCAGATGAAACAAAAAAATTACGAGGAAACAAAAACAGACGAGAAAAGAGTTATTTTTGCACATTTCTGGCGTTTTAACGCAATTATTTCGCAAAATTGTGTTAAAAATCACAAAATTAAGCCGAAAATAACTAGATTTTTGCCTTTTTAAGCTGAAAACACCGTTTTTTTGTGGCATTTTGCCAAACCGAGTCAAAAATTACTAAATCGTTAAAAAAAAGATAGATTGTCTTGGATTTTTACTCAACTTTTGGCCTTTGACCATTCATGTAAGAAAACGTAAACTTACGACATTATTGGAAAGTAATCTTGTAGTCTGGTGAAAATAACCAAAATAGGTGTAAACTTAGAAACTTGGTGAATTTTATTTTTATTTTTTTCCCATGCAGCAAAAAATACTTAAAATTAACAACGTAATTTACATGTAATTAACATAGGATAGCAAACATAAAGATATTTAGTAGTGATGAAGTTAAAAATTATTATTTTTTTTTATTTTATTATAAAAATATCACTAATTTTATGTAAATTTTTTAAAACAAATGTGTATAATTGGTTGCATATCTCAACTTTAAAAAAATTAAATGAAGAAGTTAAAGAATCAGTCTTAGAGTCTCAATATCGCCCCAAACTTTCCTCTCGTTGCTTTATTACAATTAGATTACAAAATTTTGTTTGAAATAATCCAAAAATTTTACAAAATAGGCCCAAGATGCTGTTATTTATGCTTTTTTTATAAGTTTAAGCACTGAGATAAAAACAAAAAAATTACGAGAAATTTTGTTTAAACAGATTGAAAAATTACAAAACTAAATCAAATATGCCTAAAAATCGCAAAAATAAACTGAAATTAATGTTAATTCGATGGATTTAATTGTTTTTTTGAGTAAATTTAAGTCAAAAATAAGCCGAGGAAACATAAAATTTGGTCAAAAATGCTTTTAAGCGTGTTTTTTTTTATCAAAATTCAGGTTTTTCTCAAATCAAAAAAATGCGAAAATAACGTTACTGTTTTTAACACGTTAGAAACGCAATTATTTGGCAAAATTGTGTTAAAAATTACAAAATTAGTCCGAAAATCATTAGATATTTGCTTTTTTAAGTGAAAACTTCAAATCGAGTCAAAAATCACTAAATTGCTATAAAAAAGATTGTTTTAGATTTTTCCTCAACTTTTGGGCTTTAACCATTCAGTTTTTGTAAAAAAAACCGTAAACTTTCGACACTCTTGAAAAGTAAATAACCTAGTATTAATCTGGTGAAAATAGCTAAAATATACTCTTTTTCATATTAATGTGCATCAAGTAGGTTGGAGAAGTCTAAATGAATCTTTAATTTAAAGTCCGATTTACACAAATAGTGTCATTAATGTCATTCAAAACAAATTTAATCACATCAATAATGACAAAAATCTTTGTTTGCTATCCTGTTGATTGCGTTGTTAATTTTAACTATTTTTTGCTACATGGGAACACATTTATTTGAAAAAATAATTTTTGGGAAAGATTGATTGTTTGAATTTTCGCATGGTTGCCACCTTAAAATGATCTCTTTCAACGACTACTTCGATCACAATTTTTCACACTCGAAATTGGTGGATTTTATTTTTTTGAGATGGCAACCCTGTCTCAATCTTCCCAAAAAAATTCAAAAAATAACATACAATAGCAAACATGAAGACCCCAATTTTCAGAAAACCCCAATTTGCCGTTGCACATCCTCAAACCGGAGCATCCGATCGTATGTCTTGAATACAACCAAAAGGACCCCAATTCGCTCGTTAGTGGCATGTTCAATGGGCAAGTGGCCGTATGGGACACCCGAAAGGGGCACGAACCGGTCGAATTAAGCGTCATCGAGAACAGTTATCGCGACCCCGTCCATAACGTCCTTTGGATCAACTCCAAATCCGGCACCGAGTTCTTCGGCTCCTCCACCGACGGCCAAATCAAATGGTGGGACACCAGGAAGTTAACCGAGCCCACGGAGACCCTCATCTTGGACATAAGTAAAGACGACCAATCCATGACCAATGCATTGGGGGCTTCCTGTCTCGAATACGAACCGACGATCCCCACCCGTTTCATGGTAGGCACCGAACAGGGGAAGGTCATCTCGTGCAATCGCAAAGGTAAGACGCCCCAGGAGAAGATGATGGGGCGATTTGCGGCCCATTACGGCCCCGTTTTGGCCCTCCAACGCAATCCGGCCTTTTTGAAGAACTTCCTCACGATTGGGGATTGGACAGCGAGGATTTGGTCGGAGGATTGTCGCGAGAGCTCGATTATGTGGACGAGTTTCCACAGGGCGTTGCTCACAGATGGGGCCTGGAGCCCCACTCGTCTCTCGGTGTTTTTCACCACGCGCAGTGACGGGATTTTGGATGTGTGGGATGTGCTCCAGCAGCAGAAGCAGGCCTGTCTGGGGGTGAAAGTGTGCGATGAGGCGCTCAAGTGTCTTCGGACGCATGAAATGGGGCGATTGGTGGCGGTGGGGAACCAAAAAGGGACCACTTATTTGGTGGAGTTTAGCGAGAATTTAGCAATGTCGAATAAGAATGATAAAATGTTGTTGACGGCGATGTTTGAGAGGGAGAGTAAGAGGGAGAAGATTCTGGAGGCGAGGAATAGGGAGATTCGGTTGAAGTTGAAAGCGAGAAGTGCACAGAATGTTCCAGAGGAAGGGTTGGAAGAGGAGGGGAAACCATCAGCGGTTGATTTGTTTATGGATAGTAGTGTGGTGCAAGCTGAGAGCGATTTTTATGGGGTTGTGGAGGCGGAAATGGCCGATCCGGTGCCCGAATTGCCCCCTGAAGAGGAGTTTGTGGGGGGTTTTGATGATTTTGAAGGGGAGACAGCCGAGGAAAGTCCGGGTGAAGTGAGCGAGCCAGTGGAAGAAGCACCCAAAGAAGTGAAGAAGAAGGGCAAAGGAAAAGGGAAGAAGAAGAAATAAAGAAATTCAAAATCTGGTAATTTTTAGTTCATCAGGTTGGTAAAGAAAAAGAAATAAAAAATGAAAACATCAACGTTATTTATTATTTGTCACATCATAATCTTTCAAAGCACCTAAAGGAATAATAAAGTGCACAAGGAAGAAATAATAATGCGATAATTGATATTTTATTAGAAATAATCTGGTAATTTTAGGTTTCTTAGGTTGGTGAGGAAAACAAATATTTTGTGCTAGTATATAAAAAAAATAAATTAAAAATGCGTTTAAACCAACTTTAAAGCTAATGTTTATTGAAAATAATTGTTTTTTACCTGACAAAATGATAATAAATTTTATGTTGGCACACCTGTGCTAAATGTCACCCATCAAGGTTATTTAATATATTTGTTTGTCACACGAAAAAATTGTGCTTGAAATGAACAAAGAGCCGCCGCCTCCATACTCCGCCGCGCCCCCATACTCAGGTACGTCTCCTCCGCTCGCATTAACCTCTAAAAGTGCGTTTCAGGGGTGCACCAGCCTCCCAATTACGCCCCCATGATGCCCCCTTACTCGACATGCCCGCCTTCGTACGGGGCTACAACCCAGACGACGATCATCGTACCCGAAACCGAGGTTATAATCGTGGGGGCTTGTCCAGCCTGTCGTATCGGCGTCTTGGAGGATGATTTCACATGTTTGGGGCTGTTGTGCGCGATTCTGTTTTTCCCGGCTGGTATTCTCTGTTGTTTGTTGTTGAAGGAGAAGCGTTGTGGGAACTGTGGGGCCCGTTTTGGGTAAATTTATAAGCGAATATTTTATATTAAATAGGATTATTATCAAGAAAGAATTTGTATAAAATGGGGTGATTGAGACTAGTCATGTTAGCAATAATTAAATATTTCATGTGTGAGAGTGAATAAATATGCCAACAAAATGGAATTGCGGCAAACAGGGTGCTCAAAATTTTTTTTTTATTCCTTTCTAACCTTTATTCAACTATAAATAAATAAAATGACTACAGTTTCAATTCTTGGCCGTTGTGTTAAACGCGTTGAAGATCCACCGCCGCTCGATATTGGCCCCAATCCCCACCAATTCTTGTTTAAACACATTCGGGAATCGATTCATCACCAATTCGATGTCTGAGGGCCTTAAATTAGCCTCTAATTTGCTCACATACGACCAAATGTAATCTAATCCGGCCCCAAATGGGTGCACATTGAGAAACGCCGAAATAATTCCCACCAATTTTGCATCACATTCGTTCAATTTCTGAACATCACAAGTCGTCGATTCCGATGTTGTTGTACTCTCGGCTTGATTACTCTCACTATCATCAAGAGTGATAACATCTTTATCACTTTGTTTTGTCTCCAATTGTTTTAGTTTCGATTGGAGATCTTTAACTTTGGTCTCTTCTTCAGTCTGGCGTCTTTTAGCTTCAATTAGTTGCTGTTGCATCCCTTGAAGTGTTTGTTGCAATAATTTGAATTGTTTGTCTTTGTCGTCCAATTCTTTCTTGTAGTCCATTTTAAGTACTTCGACCTTAACAAAAAAAAATTGAGTGAGTTAAGGGGGCAGTCTCTAGACAGTGTTACATGGGATAAATTCAATTTTAATTTTAAAATTAGTGTTTTTCAATTTTTTTTATTGATCCCTGAACCTTTTTCAGGAAAACAATATTTAGGAATTTAATTATAAAATGAAGTAGAAATTATGCCGATTTATGACAAATCGCAGCTTCCAACTCAAAAAGTGGAGATTCGATCCCCTTTCCGACATTTTTTTTTCAAAATTTTTCAATAAAAAATATTGCTAATTTAGGGACTATTGAAAACACACTTTTTTATTTGTGATTTTATTCTTTAAATTAGTATTTTTCAATTAAAATTGTTTTTTTTTCTGTTGTTCTTTTTGTATTGGTCACATTGAACCTTTTTTGTAGGAAAACAATAAATAGGAATTCAATTATAAAATAATGTACAAATTGTGGTGATTTTGACAAATTGGAGCTCCCAACTCAAAAAGTGGAGGTTCGATCCCATTTCTGACATTTTTTTTTGTTTTTCAAAATTTTTCAATGAAAAATATTGTTAATTAAAGGAAACTGTTGAAAACAAATGTTTTTATTTGAGTTTTTATTAATCTTTAAATTAGTGTTTCTCAATTATTTTTTTTTCTGTTAAGTACATACTTTTTTATTGACACATAACATTTTTTTTAGGAAAACAATATTTAGGAATTTAATTATAAAATAAAGTACAATTATGCTGATTTTTGACGATTCGAAGCTTCCAACTCGAAAAGTGGAGGTTCGATCCCCTTTTCGACAATTTCTTTTTCGAATTTTTTTAATACCAAATTTTTCTAAATAAAGGAAACCGTTGAAAACACATTTTTTTGTTGAAGTATTTTTGGTTTTTAATCCTTAAATTAGTGTTTTTCTATCAAGTACTTTTTTATTAATCACATTAAACCTTTTTTCTAAATATTATTTAAAAAATTAATTCTAAAATAA